GTCACCTCTGGGGCAGGCGGGGATCAAACTCATGCGGAAGTGAGTTTAGCTTCTCAGTGCTGTGCTTTAACCCGCTGCTCCAGGGAGGGCCCAATTATATAAAATATTTTAAGAACTAGGTTGGCAATGTCTTAGGTTTATATCAGCCTATTTAAATCATAGTAGTAACAATCATTTTTGTCTTCCAGAATCTTGAAAAGAGTAGCTAAGTAAATTAGCAATATGATAAATGGCTTCAGGATATTATTTTTAGCTAGCCCAGTAAGGTAGAGAAACTCAGAATAAAAACAAATTTATAAATATTAGAAATTGTTTCTAAGTTTTTTGAAATATAAACATTAGTACTTTGGATGAGTCTAAATATTGTGCTTGTTCAGTTGAATACAGAGGAAGGACATTAGAATAATATTAAATAATATGAAAATATGTCTAAGAAAAGTAACCTTTGAATTCTTTTCATTGCATGTATTAATGGCTAAGATTAATGAATCTGAAGTATTACTTCTCTATAGTTATACATATGACTGCATAACTGACCTTATTTTCTCTTAAGGCCTGATAGTAGAAGAATCAAACTATTAATAAAGTCAAATATATTACAAAGAAGTTTAAAATTTAATAAATAGCTACTATGATAAAACAAATCACGCATGTACAATGTGCAGCACCATGCACTAGAAGAGAAACAAAGGTTTAATATTAAATAAAGGAGATTAAGAAAAAAAGATCATTAGCTATATACTCAAAGATAATGAAGAAATATAAAAAGAATTAAAAGGAAAAGCAGTCCAAGAGGGAAAAAAAAATTAATGATGGAGGTTATACTGATATAGGTATTCAGAGATAGAGGATAAGAGGTTAATAGAACATTTCACAAACATAGGACAGCATGAACAAAGGCAGAGGATGAAAGTCCATCATTGACTTCGTGGGATAGAGATAATGAAGTGTATAGGGAATTTAAGGAGAGTAGAAAAGTAGTATAAAGGGAATAATGAAAAGTTGGTGTCACTTATTTCAGCAAAAAGTTCACATTGTTTATACAAATATCTATCTACATTCTTCAAGCTGCCATCAAAAAATGAAATTCCATAAAAGATGAAATGTCCAACATCTGTAAAAACATACAATCTACATTTAAAGAATTGTGGTTATCAACATGAAGTCACAGCGATGTTACAGTGGTAGGGAAGTTTAAAATAAGTTAATGGATAGCACATTTTGGGGCATGGAAGGAGTATAAGAAAGCAGTAGTGGAATTCTAAGGAAATAAGAGAACAATGAGTCCTCACATATGCAAAAAAGGACAATGGTTATTTAAAAGATACACGGTAAAACTACTCAAAAACATTAAAACCCAGTATTGCTGTAGATGAAATGGTAATATAAAGATATTAATCACAGAAGTTTTCCAACCCACCCAGCTTCTATTATTGGCAGACTTCAGCATTCCTATGGACTCCCAGGAGAACTGGGAACTTGTAAAAACTTTTCAAATCCTGGAAAGTGGGGAGAGATGAAAAAATCATGGGAGGTATCCAAACTCTAGACAGAGTTTAATTTAAAAAATTGCAAATGGACCCTCCCTGGTGGCGCAGCGGGTTAAAGCACAGCACTAAGAAGCTTAAGCCACTTCAGCATGAGTTCGATTCCCACCTGCCCCAGAGGTGACCACATGGCGTGGCAGACCTCTCCTGACCCACCCGCTGCTCCCCTCAGCAGTGTACTTTGTCGATCTTCCTGTTCTGCTCCCCACTCTGTCTCTGGTGAAGTCTCTAACCCTCCGCATCTCTGGCCTGTACCCCAGTTCTGTATGAATAAATAAATAAATCTTAAAAAAAAAAATTGCAAATGGAGGAGCATCAACTGTGAATTATGGCATCTTAACCTGGATGATACTATGCTACAGAAAAACACTAGGGAAAAATTATACCCATATCAACAAAATATGACAGGTTAGAGAGCAGGGGGGAAAAAGTAGCTGAAAATTTAAAAGGAAAATACTGTTAGTGAGAAAAGCATATAAAGAAAAAAATCAAATTCAGAAGGTAAATGATCCAAGTGTAGCTGAACATCACACTAAAATGGAATGAACTACTGTTGTTGCTACAACAAAAAGCACCTCAAAAGTTAAGTGAGAAGTCAGATACAAAATAACAAAAGACTGTATTTAAATGAAATTCTAAAAAAGACGAAACTAGAGTTACAGAAAACACATCAGTGGTTGATAGCCATAGAGCTGAGGAGGAGGGGCGCTAACTGCTACCTTTTTGTAATGATTGTATTGGTGGTCACATGATATACATTTATCAAAACTTAAACCGTTCATCTAAAATTGGTAAGTTTTATTGTACAAAATTATACCAAGTTTTGAAAATTTCAAGGACCTTCACTTCTTGCATTATTGGTTAGGAATTGAGTTATTACTCTAGAAATTCTCTGTTAGTCTCAATTCTGATATTTCCTACCCATTTTCTCTACTTTATAGACATTGTCCAAAATGATTTGTCACTAGTGGATGGATTACAAATGCAAATAATGTAAAGACTGAAAAAAGGGACAGGGAAAGGAACCACTGACCAAAGCAACATCCTTGGGAAAGATGAGGCCAGGGTTAAAAGAAAAAATCAGTCACACTGAAAGGATAGGAAGGAGCAATGTAAAGATGCTTCTAAAGATGATATGTTAAGTAACAGCTATGCTGTATAGAGAACTTTACCCTCAGTCTCTTGACTCATATCCTTTATGACTATATTATCCAATAAGGTAGCTATTAGTTCCATGTAGGTATGGACATTAAACTATCTTAAAAGTAATTTTAAAAATTAAGCATCTCAGTTGCACTAGTATATGTGGCTAATGATTATCAAATAGGACAGGGTGGAAAACATTTACAACATGAGAGAAAATTCTACTGGACATTTATTACTGACTCTACAATTTTCAGTTTCAAAATAAACTTAAGATATCCTAAAAATGCCATAGGGGAAAAAATATAAAACAAGCAAAAATAAACAAGAATGAAGCAGTATTTTGGTACTATAAAATATTTACAGAAGAGTGATAAAACTGAACAAAAAAGAGTTCAAACTCGAGTATGTCACTCACTAGTGTGCAATTCTGGGAAAATTTCCTGGAACTTCAACTGAAGAAACTGATGTAAAATTAGTGTAACATCACTTTGTAAAGTATCTTGGAGTTACTGAAAGCAACAAGTGATATGAGGTGAAAGCAACATACTGAAAGTCAAATGATATGAGAAGTATCTAATATCGGGCCTAGCATATGGCGTAAATACAAGTTTCTTTTTCAGTTGAAACTAAGAACAAATACAAGTTTCTTTTTCAGTTGAAACTAAGAACAATCTTTGGTACTTTTTTTAATGCAATTAACAAATGGCAACTCTTTTATCTTACAGTTCACAGGTCTGGTTCACATAAATCTACCAACCACTATTTTCATGAATTTTTAAAGATATAAATATGGTATACCTTAAAATAAAAAATCACTTTTCAAAGTGATTTTACAATATATTTAGTTTGCTTACCTTAGATGAAATGATACGGTTATCTATAAATTTCTGAGGTGTATAAAGGCCATTCTGAGGAAACCTGTTGGCTATGTAAATAGTTCTTGTATCACTTTGATGTGGTGGGTCAAAACCCTAAAATCAAGCAAAAAAAAAATAAGTCAATAAGGTTAGTTTTTACGATTATTTACTATTGGTTTTAACTGATCAGATTACAGTTTATTACTGACCTGGAACTATACACAAAATAGAATATACTTCTGTATTAGAAGTCATTTTTTTCCTTTTACATAGCCTTTAGATATAATCTGCTTTATTGTGATTAATAATATGATGATTCAGGTGAGCAAAATACACTTCTTACATATTTGATCTTCATCCATAGTTCCCATCTCACAATTCCCTTGAAATTTCCAAAGTACTGAGAGTGTTAAATGTGTATCATAAGTTTCCAAAGGTTACTTAGTTTTTGGAAAATACCTAAGAGGGGAGACTGGTTGCCAAGAGAATCAACCAAGTGATTGATTAGAGGGGTAGAACATTCAGGCCCATTCCTAAACCTCTGGGGAAAATAGAGGAGTTGGATAGAATCAATGCTAATGATTTAATTTAACATGCCTATATAATGAAGCTGCCATAAAAACCCTAGAGTGGTTTCAGAGAGGTTCCAGATTGGTGAATATAGAATTGGGAAGAATGCTACTCCTGAAGGGGGAATGGAAGCTTTGCATCATTTCCCCATACCATCTGGCTGTCCCAGAATAACATCCTTTGTAATAAATCACTGGTCTAGTGAGTAAATGGGTTTCCTGAGTTCTGTGAACCATTCTAGAAATTAAATCTGATGGCATCATGAGACTCTCTAATCTGTATCCAGTTGGTCAGAAGCCTATGCATGTGTCTGGCAGCCAACATGGAGGATGTGGGAGATTAAGCCTTTAACCTGTGGAATCCGATGCTATTTTTGAGTAGATATACAGGGTTGAATACTTTGCTGGTGTCTGAGAACTGCTTGGTGCAGGGAAGTCACCCTCAAATTGGAATTGGGAACAGGAACCCTACATATAAAGAAGTAGGTATTCTTCTGGTAATGGAAAAAATAGTCCATACTATATTACAACATTTGAAGATAAGCTTTCTGTTCTTCCCTTTCATTCCTTGCCTTTCTCTTAGGACATATTCATACTGAGTGATGTGGAAGTCTATGTGGATGTAAGCCTAGTCAATATCAAGCACATCTGATGACACAGATTTATATTTTATTTCTTTTATAATCAGATCAGCTCAATTTCAAAGAGTTCTGTACCAAAAGTACTTACACTACAGTTGGCTATGGACCTTACCCAGATTTATTCCAAATAATTATCTATTTATGTTAGTCACATTATCAACTGACTCCCTGAAATGTGTGTGCTATAATAATCTGACACAAGTTAGAAGACCATTCTCAAGGTACATTTAGAAATTATTTCTAATGGAAAACTTTTCACTAGTAACAAGAATATGTTATGGTACTGAACTTTTTCCCAGGGTGCAAGTGAATCTTCAAGGCTCCTTTGTTAGATCTTGGGACCCTTTAGGCACACTAAAACCATCACCAAACACAATACTTGTTGTTCTAACAGGAAATTATTTGAATTTTTCAGATTTTCATGTTAGTCCTGGGTTACTTATCAATACTAATAACTTATTAAAAGATCAAGAAAACGTGGCATTAAAAAACTACAAAGACCCCATTTTTAGATATTACTAATTATTCTAGTTTAGTAATCTACTAAATAAATAATGTTATTGTCATTAATGTGGGCTAGCCCTGTAAAATTCCATTAAGCACAGACATATACAGATACTGGAAACTCCTGTATTATCTAGAGGAATATTTTGTTTAGTACATCAGAATATTAAGTGTTGTGTATGGTTTTCTATCATTGCTGTTATTCTTGGCTTTAAAATTCTTTTTAGCTTTTTATTTATTTAATTTTATAATAGTTTATTTTTACATATTTTGTGCATTTTTTTTCTATCTCAGTTGCAATCCCCTTGGGTTTCCCATCACGAGGCTTTAAAATTTTTATGTAATCTCAGAAATAGTATAGGACTGAGTAAATTAAGTGCTTCTATATATTCTATAAAAACCATGTTTAATTTTGTTCATGCAATTTACAGTAATGACCAGTTTTTTTAGATGCCAATTTGCCATTGTATATCTGATTTAAAAATCAATTTCTTTGAGTCCTCCCTGGTGGCATAGTGGGTTAAGGCAAGGCACAAAGAAGCTAACGCCACTTCAACTTGACTTCGATCCCCTCCCCGGAGGTGATCACATGGCGCAGCAGACCTCTCCTGACCCTCCCACTACTCCTCTCAGCAGTGTACTTAAGTCAGTTAGCCTGTTCTGCTCCCCAATCTGCCTCTAGTGAATCCTCTCTCTGCCTCTACACTTCTGGTATCTACCCCAGTTCTATACGCATAAATAAAGCCAAATCTTAAAAAACAAAAACAAACAAACAAACAAAAAAAACCAACTTCTTCAAAGATAAAATATGGTTGCATGCATATTTATTTTTCTCATAAAATTTCTTTTAGGTATTTCACAATTGTGCCCTATAATAACTCATGAGGATGGGGGTGGGGGTAGGGTATGAAGTCAGTTCCCAAAAAAGGGCTTGGAATTTAACCGCTCTACCTAGAATACCACAATCATCTTAAAGATACAGGTCATTTATTCATTCACAAGGATACTGAATTTAATTACTCTGCTTTGTTCAGTCATGAAGGACCATGTGATTTGTTATATTCTCAAGCAAATGGCAACAGTCTAATACTATTTTTAAAAAGTGAATAAATTAACATAGTTGGCTATTGCTATAAAATCTATGATTTTCTAAAAAAGGGCTTGCAGAAAAATTGTAAAGTTCATAAAATTACTAAAGTTACACAGATAACTAGAGCATTCAACTACATGAGGCATATTTATTCAGCTTCCACTTGTTACCACATTAACATACTATTAAGCTATGTACCATTCATGTAAGCTTCTGGGATAAGTTAAAGAAAAAAAGTAAATTTCAGGGTCTGAAAGAATATATAAATCTTTTAGATATCAATACAATTGAGAATGACAACCACTGAAAATTTTCTAAATCCCACAGACTGCAATTACTATTTAAATTTAGATTTAACAAAAACAAGGACTGTATTCCCCAAATATATATATACACATACACACTCATACACACGTGTGCACATCTCATTTATGACTAGAATATATATAGGATATTATATACAAGTGTGTCTATACACACACACACACATTCATGTACTTTCTAGGAAGCAATGTTCACCTTTCACCATTCATCTTACTGAATGATTTAAACCAGTGGTCATACACTAAAGGTTGAGTTCTACAGTTATTTCAAGGGGACATATCTGAAATGTTCCAAAAGTAAAATCATTTTAAAATCTAAAACTGAATTTTAAATTCAGCATCACCACTTGCCAAGGTGTCATAATTAAAATGGCAATTCCAAAAGAATAATGATGTTTTTTTCTCTTATTACCAAGGATGCTATAACATCATTTAAGGAATTTTGACTTACTGTTTCAATTGTGTTTAATTCACTGATCTTATCCAATCACTCGTGATACATATACCTATAAGTACAAGTGTGTATTTGTTTCACACACAAATAGCGAAATTTTGTATTTGTGCTGTAATATGTAACAGCTAAATGGCCTTTATGGAACTTAAATCTATAACTTCAGTTCATTAGCCTCATTTTCTTTGCAACAAATTAAAGTAGTGATGAACTAAATAAAAGAATAAAGTTGTCTAAAAATGAAAAAAAATGACTTAGATCAGGGTCTTCTATAAATAAGTCCAGGTTTCTGAAACTCTAGAATGTTATGTAAATTTGAATATTTATGCATTTTTCTGAAGAGTGACCATAGTTTTCATTGAATTTGTGATGCAAAGTACTTTAAAACTATCTAAAATTTTGCTTTTGTAACTAGTCCATTTTCATATTCCATATTTTTAAAATACACAAGAGAATCTTTGTTTTCAGTACCATACCTACTTTAAGAGGAGTTAAAATATTTGTTATCAAAATTAACTATAACTGTATGTTAGTATCCACTAAAAGTATATATAGTTCCATACTATTTGTAGCAAGCTCTATTAGCAGTTCTGTGGTACTGAGTAAGTAATACTATTCCAACTCCATAATCACTAAGTCAAGGCTACATGCCAGGTTCAGAAACCTTTGGTCTATATTACATTTTCTATTGTTCTCTCAGATTACACATTTATACCATAAACTCCTTGATGCTTGCCTGTTCTTTTCTCATTTGATTTCATCTTATCCTAGACAAAGCAATATAGATAAACTAATGCTATTCTAGTCACCCTGATTTTATTTTAAAGCCCATAAGTATTTTAAGTAAAAGATTTAGAAGCATACAAATTTAAACTATTTAAAAATAAAAATTATCAAACTAAAAAAAAGACCTTGTTTCTGTCTGGATTTGTTAACATATGTATGGGAACTAAAAAAAAAAAAAGCCAGCAAGTATTTAAGGTGGAAAAAAAATCTCATGATGACATTTAGAGGAAGAGGTGTCAAAATATAGGATTTATTTAAAACGACTCCTTGTATAATTTCAAACTGATGGACCTAAGGAAAACCAACCAGCAAACAGCAAATAGCTATGCAGATTTTAGAATTTGATCTTTGGTACAAAACTTGGAATCAAATCACATTTTACACTTTCATACAAATGCAGTCTCTGTACTATGTTAAAATCCCAAAGAGCTTAAGAAAAATAAAAGCATTACCAAAAAAAAAAAAAAAAAGACTGAGACTATAGTGCTGTAATTAAATACTAACACACTTCTTTAACTAAGAAAATATGTAGCATTCACAGCAATAAATTTGTGACTCATGTTAATCCTATATGTGATCTATATTTCTTCCAAAGTTTCAAAACAAGCCAAAAATAAGATAGAGTCAAAAATACAATAGCATCATTATTAAAATTAATGAACAGCTTCACTTATAAGTCATATGATTTATATGGCAGAAAGTCACTTTTGTTAGCTATATGTTCCACTGTTGGCAGGCACATGAA